GGCGGCCGGCGGGCGTGCGGCAACCACATGTGACGACCCCGGGCTGGACTCCGCTTCGTCCACGGTGAAAGCCAACCGGCGATCGACAGCGCGAAGTTGTTGTATTTCCTCAGCAAACAGCACGGATCAGCTCCAGGCATGACGAAGTGGATATCGTCCTCTTTTGGAAGGCCAAACAAAGTAGTTTCGCTTTCACAACGAAACACACAGTGCCTTCACGACATGGCGGCGGTGGCAACAACAATACTACAGCGAGAATAAAAGTTACGCCTTCTTTCTTTACGTGAACATTTGGACTTCGTTATGCAAATCTTCCCACATCGTGACTTAGATATGCGGGGGCGTGTTAGAACGAGCAGTTTTAGGAGGGCGTGGTTGACTCTTAACTTTTATAAAGAATATCTCTTTGGATTTGAGACTTTAGTCTTTGCAACTTTACAGATCTTCTTTATGCACCAAGAGCTTGTAACACTCCAAAGAGAAAGCAAAAATTGAAATCGCATCATATGACCCCTTTAAAGCCATTTTGTAACTCGAATGTGCACTGCTTCCGGTTTCATCCACTTCCAGTTTATTTCTCCTGTACAAAATAGTCCGTTATGCTACTTAATATTGCAAACGGGTATTTGTTATTTTTATGTATTATCACAATCATAAACACGCTGTTTGTTGCGTAAATAGTTTTACCATTTACTGCACTTTGTTATTTTTCTAGTTATTTACTCACCTAATTAATCAGAAGTCTTGCACATTTATTGGAACTGCCGGCTAACAAAATTGCACTAAATTAACATGTGAAATTAACAGCCCTAGATTATTTATATTGTTTTTACCAGTGACAGTTTGAACGTCTTTGTTCTGAAAGGCGGTTAAATCGCTGGGTGCTGTCAATTCACTTCCGTTGGTTGTTTGTATCCAATGGACGGGATCACGTGAGCTCCACTGTCCGCGCTCCCTCTGGTCTATGTTGCTCATGTCGTCTCAAATATCTTACTATTATTTAAAAAGCCAATCCCTGTCAATTTGAGTTTTTATCTTAGTCAGTTTCAACTGCGACAAGTTACAAAACTGGTTCGTATTGCTGCAGCGTTGTGTTATGTAGCCCCGCCCACAGCGAAATCTCATTGGTCCAAAATCTCACTATCTCAAAATCGCATCTATAGGCTATATCTAGAGGTGGTATAATATGAGGAACAGAAAAGTCTCAACTTTGGCAAAATTGTTTGTAGCCTTACATAATTTTAAATTATAATAAATATAATTTTTGAATATGTTACATTGTTGACCCGTTTCTTCTGCCAACGATATAGTCTAAAACAGGGCTGCCCAAACTCGGTCCTGGAGGGCCGATGTCCTGAAGAGTTTAGTTCCAACCCCAATTAAACACACCTGAACCAGCTAATCAAGCTCTTACTAGGCATACTAGAAACTTGAAGGCAGGTGTGTTGAGGCAAGTTGGAGCTAAACTCTGCAGGACACTGGCCCTCCAGGACCGAGTTTGGGCACCCCTGGTCTAAAAGAAAACTCTGCTCTCACACTGAAGGCAAATGCACTTTAACAAAAATAATGAACTTTGGCTAAACGGGAGAGCATCTACTCAGCTACAGGAGTGTAATTGGACTGATCTGGTCTTGTAAACACTGCGGATAAGACCAGCATAAATGTCTGGTTAGAGGCTATTCAAGTCCAAGCAGGCAAATTTGATGTTTATGGAGCCTCTGCAGATCCCCTTTATTGAATCAAATGTTGTTTTTAGTGTCAACCCATCAGCAGAGAGAGAGAGAGAGCTCTATGGAGGTCACCAACAGAAGTTTAACCAGTTCTCTTTAAAAAGAGACTGGACCAGAAATACCTGCAATTAAGGTTAAAGTTGGTCATCAAACCTCTCTATCAAACAAATGATTTATTTAATAACAACTGTGGTTATGATATTTTTGTGGTTGCGAAACCACAGATGAATCAAACTGTGCTTTGTTTGTGGGGGTGTAGTGAAGATTCAGACAAAACATAGAGGCGATTAAGATTTTGGAGCATTGGCTCCTCCTGCTGTCTAACAGGAAACCAGCAATAATATACTATAATATTTCTGAAGTTATTCACATGAATTGTATTGCTCCATATGAAAAAGCAAGTGCTTTTTAATTCTCATGAGACATTTCAGAAGAAACATCTAAGACAAAATAGCAATAGTAATAATATATCAGTTTGAAATGGGTAAGCTTGATTCTGAGTAATGTACATTATTCATAAATAAAAATTACTAAATTATTTTTTTGAACCTTCAACATCACATTTGTTTTATTTATTTATTTATTTTTCTAATCACGTTAGTCAATTGTATACACACTCCTTCTAAATCAAAGTATTGGTAGACTGGAAGAACCAAATCGTTTTGAATCAGTGTGCAGAAATAGTGTTCACTGGGTTAGTAGATGAGGAAAGTCAGACTCTTGCTTGTACAGTAAAACAAGTGTCAGCATATATTATACATATTCACACCGTAATATCACATTCAGTATTAGAATAAGAGTCTTAGTGTCTCAGTGGCCAATTTCGACAGTAACATTATTTTTTGCCACTACAGGGCGCTGTAAGGCTGTGTGAATTGCCATCGAAACTCAGGACATGCACTTTAATGTAACGGATTTGCCCAGTTATGTTTATATAATATCTCTTTAAGAGTTAGAATCATGTTTTCATAGACAAAAAGAACCAGATCCACACAATAAATAAAGGATGAAACAGTACGCCGTTGACTTATCTTGACTGTCTGAGATCAAGCAAATTGTTTCTGTTTGCAGTATTGAAAATATGTTCATCATTGTAACTCAAATTCAACTGAATTTGGTAAGGTGCTGCTGTTACACACATTTACAGAGGTAAAGCACACCGACATGTCTTCCGAAACACTGCTACATATATTGGTACACTTCATTTTAATCTGAACGAGGCGCATGATCTGATTTGCAGTGTTTAGGCAGTGGCCTATACGCACAGGTCATGTGGGTCAAAGCTAATTTTGACCCACAGAATATATGCTATATACACATGCGGTGATGCATATAGTCTCCGATTCACAAAGAAAGGGGTGAATGAGAAGTAAAGATGTCTAAGATAATAATTTAGTCTGCAATGCATATAAACAATAATACGTTTAATACAGCTTGAATACAACATAATATCTGCTTATAATATCCGATCTTTACCATCGATCAAACCTGAATTCTCTAATGCCGGTTGACTCACAGAGACTTTTGCCCTCAGAGTTTTGTGCTCTGGGAGGGTCAGAGGTCACGTTTTATACAGCTTGTGTTCTATAACTTTTAACTTTCAGTTTATAATTTACCCAAGTAAATATATATTTACAGCTCAAGTCATTTTGTACTTATGTCAGTTTATTATGAATAAATATTTTGGTTTATTTCCATAAAATTATCAATTAAAAGAGAATATAATCAATGTATTTAATTCATTGGATTATGCAAAACTAAGCATCATTACATAGTTCTTTCATATCGAAGCATTGTATTAAATGTACAACAAATAAATAAATACATTTTATTTTAATTTAAGAAAGTTGAAATTTAATAACCCAATTTAAAAATGCAAAAAAGCATTTTTTTAAAAATCTAAAACTATTAAAAAAGTTGAATCAGAAATTGAAATAACATCAAATATAAATATTACATGAAAAACAAACTTATAAAAATGTTTAGAAATGTTGCCTTGACAATTACATTGAATTACTATAATGACTAAAATGGAAATAAAAAGAAATTAAAGCATTATTACATAGTTATTTCATGTCTAAACATTGTATTAAATTTCCAGCAAATAAATAAATACATTTTATTTTAATTGAAGAAAGTTTAAATTTAATAACCCAATTTAAAAATGTAAAAAAAGCATTTTTTTAAAAATCTAAAACTATTAAAAAAGTTGAATCAGAAATTGAAATAACAAAATATACTGTAAACATTACATGAAAAACAAACGTATAAAAATGTTTAGAAATGTTGCCTTGAGAATTACATTGAAATACTATAATGACTAAAATGGAAATAAAAAGAAATTAAAGTGAAATAAAAATATTTAAAGGAAACTAAATTAAAATGGAAACTGGAAAGTATCAAAATAAAAGATAATAAAAGATAATTAATAAACACTACAATACATAATACTAAACACTGCATGTGAATTCAGACATCTTAATCATTAATCGATGTTTTTAAAATTTACAAAAAAATTATTTTATTTATTTTCTTAAATAATAAATTAACTCATAAATTAATTATATTAATTATTACTTATTAATTATCATAAATTAAAATATTACGCTTTTGGGGAGTCACATCACATGAAATTTTGAAACCTTTGAAACTAGCTTTGCCTGTCATAAAAAGGTCAACATTTCTGATATTTGATGTGGTTTCATTTCTGACAGGTGGTTGCACAACATGACTTCAATTTGATAAAATGACTTCTTAAAATATATATTTTAACAAAACTTTAAGAATTAAGATATCCATTTTTAGGAAGTAATACTAAAAGATTATGCCAAGTTACTTTTCTTCATTATGATATCAAGACAGCTTTATCACACTGACATTTTTAACACGATGTTTGGTAAAATCTACCGAAACCTAAACGTTCTCTGACCTGCAGCTGTTCAGCACAGTTCTGGCAGCACACCATGTGACCGCAGGGGCAGAAGGTGGTGTCGATCTCTTCCTCGCAGCACAGCATGCACAGCAGCGCCTCCCGCAGTTTCTGCAGCTTCTCCTGCAGCAAGCGGCTCTGCTGGCAGCCCCTGCAGTCAAGCGCCCCCTCCTGGTCAGGGGACGGCGAGCGGGACGACAGAGTGCACTCCCCCGGCCTCGACATCATGTCCACGATACCGGCGTTGTACAGCGCGCGCCTGGCGTAGTCGTACACTTCCTTGGAGGTCCGCCGAATGTCGAATACATACTTCTTGCCCAGGTTGATGTTCTCATTGAGGAAAAGTGAAGCCAGGTGACCCTTGAAATCACGGCTGTATTGCATCATGACGGCGTTTGTTACCGTGTCGCACCTGCAGACAAAAACAAGAGTGATCGGTGAGCAAGACTGCATATTACACACTAGCACATTATCTGCTCGGCGTCTGCCACACAGAAGCTCAGACCATCCATTATCCATCAGAGATAATGGGCTACTGGAAAGGTGCTGTAGTTGTGAAAATGAAGGCAACATCCTTCATGCTTGTTAGAGTTCAAGGGTAGAGAGCAGCAGCTGTTACCTTTCAGTCGGTCACTCTCGACGTCACGTCGGATGACCGACGAATTGGGATCTCGCTTAGAGGGACCAATCTACTTCGAGTGTAAACTAAACGAGCCAATGCACATTGGCATGCGATTATTGCATCCAGCTGCTGCTGATCACAGCGTGAGTATAAGTAGGCAGCAGATGCAGCGCATATTCAGCTTTTCGCTTCGGAGCCGAGCGATTCTATCGTTTTGCTCCTGACCTTCTACAGTGGTGAAAAACTACAGTAAAGCACGCTCTTCGTGGGCTCTCGTGCTGGTGGTACGGCGCTTCAGCGGCGGTGGTTTTCCCGTGTCGAGTGGGTTGCACACAACAGGCTGCACTACCCCTGTGTGTGTTGCAGACTGCCATCTCCCCTGTGCGCTTCAGCACTCTAAAAGAGCAATTTCCATCTAAAAGAGCTTCACGGGTGGAACGTCTTTTTAAAGACGCGTCTTTTTAAAT